CCAGCCGGTATTCACTCCTCGGGATCAGAGAGAGAAGATACAGTTAACCGGGCAACCATGTCCACGGCCTGTAAACCTGGTGGGAGCGCAAGCGCATACACCGACAGGGAATCAGATTCAAGCAAATTGCCGGTGCACACCAGACTGCAGACAATAGTCAAGAAGACCGGAGATGGGGGACGGCGCAGGCGGTGGGTGCGAACACGCTCCAACCGCGTCACAAAAACTCCACCTTGCTAGGTAGGCTCCCGTGTGTACGGGAGCAGCATAAAGGTCACATTAAGAAGGAATCATTACTGCCTGACTCTCAGCCTGCAGTACTCCACGCCACACAAAAAGACACACTGGGCTGACTGCGGTGCCCGAGTTATCCCGTCAGTTGGCAATCCTCCAAGCCATGGCTTTTGGCGCACCATGATAGCTTCAAACGCATCAGATTGTTTGCGCTGAGGGTCGACATCATTCTCTTCTCCCTCGTGTCCGAACACCAACAGTAACACAAACCAAACTTTAATTGTACCCTCATCATGACCACATCCCTATCCCTACCCCCAGCCCTTAATTTAACTCCAGTCTTACGTTATTCCCAACCCTAATCTTAACCCTAACCGTAATGTTCCTAGGCCTTAACATGTAGCCACCTGCATTTCTATCGGTTCTTGCTCTGATGCCTTGTCGAGGGGGATATGTGAAAAAGCCCCATTGCTAACTGCTGCGACTTCCTCTACATTATATCGAGTGAATTACAAAGTAGACAACAAATTCCGACAGAAATTTGATGAAAGAAGCCCCTGCATAGAAGTACTACATTTTTCTGCCAAGAATTAGGGCATTCTAAACATGAAGCTGCTCGAAATATAGGAAAATTGTGCCAGAAAATATCATACTGATACGTCATGCGTTGTATGGAATAGCTTTTTTGGAATTCTATTGTATGCTAGGTCATGAAGTAAAGTAGACTAAAATGTGGCCTAAATGAAAGTATTTCAATTATTTTGCATTTTAAATCATTTTGCTTGGTTGGCTAATCCATTTTAATCGAGAAAAGAACAAAAAGTCGCAATATACCCTGTAGCACAGGAGGAGGAAGTTTATGAGAAAGGCGAGGATGAGAGCGCACAACTTGAAGCGATAGAAGTTGCGAGCGAAGATAGAGATGAGGAAGGTAGAGGTTGGAATCGGCTTGAGTTCCACGACCGTAGGCTCCTCACTAGCCTGCGCTGATGGAGTCTGACGGGCTGCAAATGAATGTACGCAGGAAATGCACGGATCAAAAAATAAACTGTGCAGTTCAATTGATAATGTGACCATTGAAGAATAAAATTCACTTTCTGCTTCTAACAAGCTTGTGATTACGTTTTGAAATCCTTTACATTTAAATGAGTCCCTTCAAAAAGGTTTGTGGTCCCCAAAGCTTGTTCCTGCACTCAGATGAAATAAACCTTTACAAGAACCCTCTGAGTGTTTTTAAAGAACCTGAAAGGACAGCAGAACAGTTTAGGCCAGGTACATACATCCTGTAGATGATTCCGAGCTCTTTTCTTCATTCTTCTTCGTTCGTGGGGTGGTGGACTTGGATTTTTCCTCTAGAACAGCAACCTTGGTCGGATCAATGCGTTCAAGCAGGAGTTGTTCTGATTCAGGGAGTAGCCAACACTCTCGTTGCTGGAAAAGAAAACGAAAAAAAGCGGTAGCTTTGGAATAACCGTATGTTAGGTTTCAGAAGATAAATTGGCGAACATACGTTTGTTTTCGATAAATTCTCA